ACCTTTATTTTTTTTTTTTTCATGTACTTAAAAGGGATGACTAATTAAGCCAGACTAGAAGGTGAGTTCTGACTGTTAATTGCTAAGGGAGGTGCCGTGTTTCTATTTAGCCCAGGTCATTTGTTGAACTAGGCAGATGAGATACATGGTCTATGGTCTTGCTCATGGTGTAATGCTGGCACTTGAGAATTAATCATTTTCAGATGTTCCACATTTGTTATTTTAAAGTTGTTTTTCCCTCTCTGGGTAAAAGCTGAGGAAAAGTGTTGTAGCCTTTTATCTAAGAGCATATGGCTACAGTCATGACTTTCATAGGGCAAAGCTGGCTTGTGGATTTACTCAAATAATCCCCAAATTTTCAAATAGGCCACTTCACCACAGTATGATTGTCTAGTCAGCTAATTGAACAATTATAGTTAGACTTTTAGAACAAGAGGCTCCATGGGGCTTCGTATACAAATAATGTTCCATTTCTAATTATAAAGCTGTGTGAGCACACAGTAGTACCAACATGGTTTAACTGACTTCTTGGCTGCTCATAAAAAATGCAAGTGGTGAGGCCCCACTCTAGACTTTGATATATTTTTAACAGCTACTCATCCAGAGTCGAGGACCACTGGTATAAAGTATAGTTTGGTTTTGGAGGCACTTGGAGTCTAATTGGGAATATAGACCTTCTATTTATAACTATCAATCTGTTTTTTTAGCTTCTTATACAGAAGGATATGAAAAGTTTCAAGTGAGAGTCATGGACAACACAACTACTGTGCTTCAGGGAGGGACAGATTACTGAGCAAAAATAAACTAATGAAATAAGATTGAACTTCTGTTTTAAGAATGATTAGAGTGTACACACAGATATGCGAACAGGGTACTCTGAGTAGAAGACTGGCATGAGCCCAAGCTTGTGTGCAAGCTCAAGGCAAGAGTATGGGGTGCAAGGTATGGGCTAGGTATTAATTGGATATTAGTTGGAAAATGAAAATCAGGTGGCCCTTTACAGGGACTTGGGTCCAAAGATCCAGGCATGAGTTCTATACATGCCACTAAATAAAGTATAGTTCACTTCTCTGAGCTCCAGTTTTCCCATCTGCTTGCAGTGGGACAAAACTTACTATTAGGTTGTTTGGAACCAGCAAGGTAATGGCAGTTGATAAACCACAGAGCCCCACCAGTGCTAGCTGCTATTATTGTCTTTTGGAATAAAAGCTATGGAAGGGTTCAGAGAGGAGGAGTGATGCATAGGAAGTGTTAAATCATTCTTTCTATTTACTCATGAGTGAGTGAAAGAAACAGCTACAAATGAGTAATAACTGAATTATGTACTTACATTTAGGGACTTGGAGCCCAACCTTCAAAAAGAAGAGTGGCCTAGTGCCCCATCATGGCTGCTGCTGAGGCTGAGTCTGATGAGGCCTGTGAGTAGCTCTCTTACCTGCAACTCAGTCAACTCAATGCATAACGCGCGACACTCCAACAGCTTTAAAGGACACTTTGAATTAATTATTAACCTCCAGGGCACTAAATTGGTTGGCATGCCTTGTAAGAATTCATCTCATTCCCTTTATTTAAACATAACCAACTTCTGATTGATCTATAGCAACATTTAACTTAGTTTGTGGCCCAACATGGTATCCATTAGCCACACATGGCTATTCAGTGCTTGAACTGTGGCTAGTGAAACTGAGGAACTGAACGTTTAGTTTTAATTCATTTTAATTTCAATATAAAAACCATAATTCAGTTATCGAAAAACTTTTAATCATGTATGGAGCAATGTGGGTATGTGAATCTACTTTTTTGAGTGGACACATATAAATCTAAATACAAATCCAGTGTTTCTGATAAAAATTTAGTTATCTGAATTGAGATGTATGTAAGTGCAGAATACATAGAGGATTTTGGAGATGGAACAAAAATATATCATTAATTTTTAATATTGATTAATGTTGAAATAATATTTGGAAATATTTTGTTTAAATAAGATATTCTGCAACAATTATTATATTTTATTAAAATTAATTTCACCTCTCTTTCACTTTTAAAATGTGACTACTAGAAAATTTTAAATTACATATGCAGCTCACATTATATTTCTTTCAGAGCTCATCTAGACTTGGCAACACTACAAGTAATCATAAATTTAGGCTTAGGTAGCATGACTGAGAAACATTTTCTGCTGCACACAGAGCTGGGATTATTGGGATTTCCTATTCTGCTACCTCCCCTTGGCTCAGGTGACCCCAGGCAGCATGTAATAAAGGCTGGCTGGCTTCTGTCCATAGCAACCAATAGAATGAGATGTGGACCACTTTAACTCTCTTTCCATTTCGATAGCACAACACATTTTTCAAGATGGAGGAGGAATGTTCTCTAGTTCGTTGTGCCTTTGGGTCATGCCCACAATTACTTAAATGATATTGGAAGTCTCGATACTCAGAGCTTAGAATTCTCCTACTTCTCTTTAGCAACTTAGCCCCAGCCTGAGAAACATTAAGATAAACAGATTTTTGTAAGAGTACCCTGTAAAATCTTCCTGGTAGGTGTAGGAAACCTATTGATCATTTATTGTTGCAAAGAGGATAAAACACTTTGCTAAAGAAGACCAAAGTGGCAAGTGAGGAAAAGTGGGTCTATAAGAGAAACAACTTCAAGCAGGAATGGAAGAATTGGATCTTAATGAGAATGTGTTCTGGGAAAAAAACCTCCTGCTGCCTAAAGGTTTTAGAGATGATGGTCATATGCAACTTGAAGTTTGGGTTTTACTTGGTTCTTTCTTTTTGGAAAGAACTTAGAAAAATGTGTTTTCTTCATTTGTACCTAATGGGATTCAATATAAACTATTTTACTTGAGGTTTCTGTTCAAAGACCCTCTATTCCCTTTCTAGCTTCCACAACAACTTGTCCTAAACTAGTTCAGCGGTCTTAGTTCCAGGCGCCTCCCCCCAGTTTCCTCTCTGACCGCGCTCCCCTCTCCCAGCCCTTCCCTTTATCTGAATGTGCTTTTAGAAGGTCTTTCTGCACATGCACAAATATTCAAATATTTACTTATTTGTTTTTTACTTGTTGGCTGTGTGTTTGTTATATTTAGCCAACATTTCCCCCCACTACAATATAATACTTAGGAAGAGCTCAAATGAGTAAAAGCAATAAGGTCTGATTGAAAGAAGAGCAAGCCACCAAAACATGTGAAATTGGTGAAGAACAATTTTAAAATCACCGCCTTAGTCTGGATTTGATTCACTATGTTATTTCTCTTGGGATGTTTCTGGTTCAAATCTTATCTCTAATAATACAATATAAAGCCTTATATCTTTGAGGGAAGTTTTTACATCCGTGGACTGGCAGGAGGGGGTGCTGGTGATTTACGGTGACCTCTGTCACAGCACAGATCTTACTGAATGTCATGGTGTTTGTTTACATTTTTTTTTTTTTGCTGGCACTAGACTCTAAGTATCTGGAATACAAGGAGACCAAGGGTCTTATTTCTTTCAGTGTATTTAGAACCCAAACAGTACCCGGGACTTGGTAGGTGCTTAATGATCGTATGCTGACTAAGTGTTACGGAGTGTGAAATAGGGCTTTTCTAGCACTTATTAAATCAGTCAGGCAATCAGGCACCAACTCCGACTTACAGAGGTAAGGCTGGTCTCAGCTGTGTGGCTGTACTTCTTTGTTCAGTGTGTCTTCATAGTAAATATTAGTGAAGTCTCTGAAGAATGCAGCCTGTTTGTAGGGAGAATGAAAACCCTCTGAGTAAGTCCAGTTATTTTTGTCTTGTTTATAAAAAACATGTGTTTGTTAGTCTCTCAGTTGTTTTGGATGCGGAAAGACTTGTTCAGTGATTACAGTTAAGAGGCAGCCAACGGTTCATTCCTTATCATAGTTTCCGTAATTAGATCTTTTGGTGTTTCCATGTCTTCATTTTAGAGTTTTACTAGAACAATTATACAGGAACTTCTAAAGCATTAAAAGAAGACTGGAGTTTTATAAGTGATCAATTATAGTAACATTAAGCTGCATTTCAAATATATAAAATATATATTATATGTATAATAATATAAGAAAATGTTTTAGGCTAGTGAAATTATTTCTTTCCCCATGGAAATGTTGATATTTGCCTGCATGGTTTAGCTAAGTTTAATATGACTGCTTCAATCTCTTCATGAACTTTATTATAAAATATTCGTTATTGCTAATAATTATTTTTTTATTGCTCTGTGGGGATTTGGTATTTAAACCCAACTATGAAGGCATTTATCTTTGTAATATTGAAGAAATGAGGATTGACTAATGAACTTAATCATATAGTCAGCCCAGTCATAGTAATACAACAATAACCACAGTGACAATAATTGTTCACATGTATTGAAAGCTTACTATGTGCTAGGTGCTATGTTAACTGCTTTGTAACCAAGTTCAATTTTATCTTCACAATGACTCTGTGTGAGATGTGTTATTATTATTATTATTATTATCCACATTTTACAAATGAGAAAATAAAGATTTAGGACAATAAAATAAAGTCCCTGAACAAATTGGAATTCAAGACCAAAATAGTGTGACTCAAGAAACAAGAACTCTTAAAAGTCATTCTGCATGCTATGGATATGTATTTGCATACAGACAAAGCCTTAATAATTTTTCTTAACAGAGAAGGCGCAGACCTTGACCACTTCATCTTAATAATTGAAGTAGTAATGTGCACTTGAATATATAAAAGATGCATGCTTATCCCATTGTGAACAAAGAAACAAAGATTATTAACTGGATGGATTCTTAACGTCAACGTTGTTTAATTTCTTGTCATTTTATATTTATTTGTTGAGTCAGCAGCTGCAGCACCTCACATGACAATGAGGGCTCAGGACCGCTGGCTTAGAGTCAGTGTGTCAACACACCTTCAGCGGATCCGGTTCAGGATCCTTGTGAATTTGCTCCCTTTTGGTGGCTGCCCTTTTTGCTCCGTTAATACAATCCCAGGCCTTGTGTTGTTTAAGAACCTCATGGGCTGACGACAGGGGTTCACTGTGGCAGCACCTAGGTGAGCTGGGATCTACTGCTGGCTCCAAGCAGGCCATCGGCGTTGCCAGAGTGTGCGTCAGCTCCTCCACAGTGCACGGGGAACAAGCAGCTTTGGGGATTGGGGGAAATCTGAAACACCGACCAAGAGCCCAGCTGGAAAGAAGAGGTGATTTTACTCCTTGGGAATTTCACTCCTCTGTCAAAGGCTGATTTTTAGCTATGAAGGGGAAAATGAGAACCACTCGGTTGGCACATTAAATTACAAGTTTGCAGGAGATTGCTGGCTTCAAATGAAAGTGTCTAAGTCCATTCAGGCTACTATAAAATATATAATCTGGGCAGTTTATAAACAAAAGAAATTTATTTCTTACAATTCTGGAAACTTGAAAGACTGAGATCATGATGTCAATGATTCGATATCTGGCAAGGATCTGCTTTCTCGTTGGTGGATGTCTTCTCACTGGTAGAAGGGACTCCCTACCTTTCCGGGGTCTCTTTTGTAAGAGCACTAATCTCAACCTCGAGAGCTCTACCCTCATGACATTATCACCTCCCAAAGGCCCCACCTCCTAATATCATCACATTAAACATTAAGTGTCAACATATGAATTTTGGGGCAACATTTATATATTGAGTTCACAATGGAAAGTACTGGTGAAATGCAAATATTTTACAAGGGTAACCAACCAAATGCCAGAGGAGTCTCCAGTACTCATAGGTAGTGCATGGCATCAAGAAAAGAAGGAGATGTGTAGAAAAGAGCAGAAAGTGATTCATGAGGTCAGCATCTGTGTGGGTTCCCAGTATGGCTATGCGACCTTGGAAGGCTCTTGGGCCCTCTGCGTCTGAGAGCTTTGCTGTAAAAGAAGGCCAGATCATCTCTAAGGTCTTGTCTAGGATGAAGATGGGATGGTTCTTATAGAGCTGCATTTTCACCAAAACCCAGTGACAGTCCTGTCATGTATTAATAAATTATATTGATTGTCATGTGTCTGATACATGCCAATATTGTAATTCTAAGTAATTATAAGAGAGATTTAATTGGTCAAAAAAGAAGAGGTAAACAAGGACAAGTTGTAGACTCACTACCTTTTCTCTAGAAAGTTAGTGGTCTGGTTAGAAACTCCTTCAAAGTAGATTTAGATTTTAGTTGAAACTTGATGAAACAGACAATCTAAATTCCTGAGCCATGGTCTCTTCCATAAGGCCAGTGCATCTTATGGCTTTGAACAATGAAATTTATATGAACCATTTTATGATTCATATGCGATGTTGTGTTCCACTCTCTACAAAGAATATGCACACTTCTTCAGAAGCATATGCACAAAATCTGACAACTATTTTTATTGACAAGAAGAAAAAAATTCACCAACCAATTTCCTTAGAAATTTGTAGGCAGCCCTGAATGTTGGGGGGTGGAGGATCCCATGGTAAATGAGGGAGGACAGGGAGAGTTGAGTTTCGTAATGGTTTATGCCCACTTGCCATAGCTATGAGTGGAAGGAAGACTCTAGAGAGCAAGGGGAGATGTTGTTCCTTCTAGAATAATGGCAGAGGGACAATTCCAATATCCAATGATGGAACACCTTTAGTAGGTGCTTTCTCCCCGAACCCAGAGCTTTTAAGGTGGACTAAGAGTCCATTGTCTTTCTCCTTTATTGCTATGGTCTTCCCCAGGCTGTTCCTCAGAATGTCATTGCCCCAAAGTAACAGCTGCCTGGGGGTACCCATGAGTCTACATGGTGAAAAGCAAGGAGGAATTTTGTGAAAGAATGACCGTCTCTTTTCCAAACTGATTACCCTCTTTTGTATTTCCACCAATGATACATGAGGGTTCCAGTAGCTCCACAACCTCTCCAACATTGACTGTTACGTCTTTTTACTTTTAGCTGTTCTGGTGGGTGTGTGGTGGTATCTGCTATGGTCCGAATGTTTGTGTTACTCCTCTCCAAATGTGTGTGTTGAAATCCTAATCCCCCAAAGATAATGATAATATGAGGCGGGGCCTTTGGGAGGTGTTTAGGTCAGGAGGGTGGAGCCCTCATGATGGGATTAGTGCTCTTATGAAAGAGGCCCCACAGAGCTCTAGAAGGGGATCCTCGCCTGACCATGCTGGCTCCCTGACCTCAGATTTCCGGATGTGAGAACTGTGAGAAATAAATTTCTGTTTTTTATAAGTTACTCGGTCTGTGGCATCTTGTAATGGCAGACCAAGTGGACTAAGTATCTCATTATGGTTTTGATTTGCTTGAAGATGGGGTTTTTAATTGCTTAAAATGTGAGTGGGTAAAAATAAGAGAGAGAGAAAAAAATCTTGATCCTAAGAGTTCTAAAGGACCTGGAGTTATGGAAGTGGGGAGCACACTGGCCAGACTGAAAAGCTAATTGAAATGGGTAATATGCAGGGTCTGGTAGAAGTAACGCCATTGAGCGTGGTTGGTAGGGTACATGAATGTCTCCCATGAGACAGCAATTTGAACATTTTGCCTAAAATTTCTTACGGTGTTTTTGAGTGTGATATTGTTATGTTATAGAATTACATGCTTATGATTTTGTAATAAAGATTTGGTATAGATTACCAGCTCATAAAAAAGCAGTGTTACTTGTGCCGGACCCTGTACTTTAATTTTACTGAGTTCAGGTTAAGAGGAGAAAGCCAAGAAACACTTTTAAATGTCACAGTCAGCTAATATTAAAGGAAATATATAAGTAGAAAATCTTAGACAAGGCCAAATGAGAATATGTATTCTATATAGGTGCTATAACATTTCATATATAGCTCTGGAGAAAAAAAGTAAATTAAGAATCTTAGGAAAATATAAGTGAGATAAGAATTATTACAATGTTACCCATTTGTAGGTGTGTATATTTTTATTTAAATGCTATTGCTATTTAATAAGCCTATTAAAAAGTTTTATTTTGTAGTTATAATTTAATCAACTAGTTTTAGGGTAACATATTCTTGAATAAATGTACAGCCATTATGAATTATTCATGAAGTATAGAAAACAGAAATAGACTTGTTAATAATTTTTGTGGCCAAATCATGTTGTTTCGTCTTGTGTATAGTAACATGTAAAAAATGTTTAGAACTATTTGAGATTTCAGTTTTGTGTGCTTTCTATGGTTTCCCTGAATTTTAATAATTTAGGATAATCTATCACTATGACCATTGTGAACTGATGTTTTTTAAAGCAAAATATTGCATTAATGCGTTACATTAACTTATTTTGCATTCACTTATAAGTTCCACTTATAAAATTCACTTTTTAATAATGTCCTGCAAGATTTATCACTGTCCCCAAATTTTAATATTATAGTTTCACCATATTTTGATTAAGAAAGTACATTAATGACATTAAAAACAAGTTTCTCTCTTTCTCTTTTAGGTCCTGTCTTAGAGATTACGAAGCAAGATTTATTTCAGGAAGCAAAAAATCTCATTGCCCAACATTATGAGAAAATAAATGAGGTTAGTGCTTTGCATTTATCTAACATTATATTTTTCAGGAAACTAATAACTATTTTTGTATACCACAATGATTGTTCCAAATGGTTGCATGAACCCTAATAGATTTTGAGTAGAATAGAGAAAAAATGAAATCCTTACCAGCTGTAAGAATTGATTCCAAATTGCATTTAAAATTAAATTTATCATCTATAGAGATGACTTAATTATAAATATATACTTAATTTGCACACATACTTGTTAATGTTTTTCTTTTGTTGAATTATAACAGAAATATTTGGATTAAATATCTCATGTAAATATCTCTAGCAAATACTGTGAGATGTCCCCTCTATGCCCCTGGCAGGACATGCTGACCTGATCTAGCCCCACCTCGCTCTCATTTAGAACCATTTACCAGCCTGATATGCTCCTTGGGGTAGTGGCTGCCTTTTTTTGAATATTGCATCTCCAGCAACAAGCATTGTGCCTGGCCCAGTAAATACTTGCTGAATGGCATAGATGTGGAAAATCAGAGAAGAAGCAATGAAAGGGAAAGGGAGGGCAAAGAGACAGGACAGTCAGCGCAGGGTGAAATTTTGGATGATATCTACAGAGGAGGTGGAAAATTTTGGGAGCAGCAGCTATTGTGGCAAATGGGCCTTTGGGGACCCAGGTGAGGAAGGGAGATCTTAGAATGATGTACTTTTTGCTATACGATCCTATTCCCTTTTGAATACTTTTTAAAACAATGTATTTTAAATAAAGATTTTAAGTATTTTTCAATGTTTACTGTGGAGGAAGGGGATTATAATTTTTCCATATGTTATTTTTGAATGGTCCTCCATACTGAGACTGGCCATAGATGGTTTTAATCTTGTAATCAACATTGTCAACATTGCTTAACTTTTTTCTCTAACCAAAAAACACTTTTAAATTATATTGATTAATTGGTAGGTACATAGGATAAAAACTTCAGTCTTCAGAGTTAGATTGATGTACCTAAGAGCCCTGAGCTATATTTAGAATTTAATAACAGTATAGTATTCCATCTTTGGTTGCTTGGCAAAACATAATACCTCCTTATTGGCATCTTGAATTGGCAACAATTTGAATTTGTCTAAACCCTTTTTGGGGGACGGGGCGGGCGGATGCTATATCTATATGAGCCAGAGAACGACTAGGCTAAAACAAGTATAATTGTTTTGATAACTACTTCTTGGAGACCTGAGACTATATTATTTTTCTTTCACTCCAGGTAGTCAAAAGTAAGAAACATTTAAGTGATTGAGGTGATGTGAAATATATATCCAATTATTAATGTTCTTTCCTTGAGAATCTCCCTCCATATGTGGGCAGTTATTTGTGGTTCAACAGAGAAAGAGTTTTGGGGGTGTTAGCATTTTATGGGCATTTTGGAATTCTTCAAAGATGATTGAAAAATAATTACATTCTTATATGTCTAGTTGAAAACTTCTATTTTAAAATAGACTTTAAAGCTGTATTTGGAAATATCACATTTTAGGAAACAATAACTATTTTAAATTTACAGTTTTTGAAGTAGAATATAACCCTCATGTCTGTGAAGTGCCTTTTGAGAACTACATAGGAAAACATATGCTTTATTTGAATACTGTCATATGTTTAATCATAACTGTCTTATATAGAAAGGTACTCTGCAAAATTAATTTAGTGGATATAAGTTTCTATTGTATTAACAAGATTTATTATATACTGTTATATAACTATGAGAATTAAATTTAATTAAATTTATCTTTGTTTTATTCACAGAGCAAAGTTCAAGGTCGTTCTGTAAATGTTTTCAGAAATAAACACCAAAAACCCAAATCTGGCATATTCATACCTTTCGAAATAAAAAAAAAGGAAACACTTGATGTGGTCCAAGAACTTCAGAGAATATACAAATGTATTTGTTTTCCCAAAGATGTTTCCAAAGGTGGACATTTTGAGGAGCCCCCACAACAAACTCCTTTCAAGGAGCCACGCAGGTTTAATGTAAAAGAGAAATTCAAGGGACCTAGAGATCTAATTGCAAAAGGTAAGTTTTGGTGGAGCAGAGAAATTCTGCAAACTAATGGACAAAATGTTTGCTTCTGGTGTGCTTTTAATGGAATTTCCGTATTCAGGCAAAAACCCAAACTTTAAATTTCAGCAATGAAGGGTAGGAGGCATGATTGAAAGAGCTGCTAACCCCTAGGGGACCACCCAAAACTGAGAAGAGAGCCTTCTAGGGGGGAAGAGGAACTTTGATGAACAAAATTGGCTAGCGACTCTTCTAATGGGGGCTACTCCTTCCAGGACAAGTCCTCAGCCACTGGCGAGTTCACTGTTAGTAGAGCAGTCAGAGGCTTATGGCTTTGGAGTCTGTTGTTGAGCAGGGTAGGCAGTGTAGGCAAACTGTGTGTGAGCATGTTCCTCCAAAACCCTAAGAGGATTTTTGGGAGTTATAGAGTTTTCCTTGAATATAAATTGCAGGAAAGGTTTATTCTCTATCAGGAACTTGGTAAGGTGGAAACTGAAGGTCTATCTAAGCAAAGTGGTATGTTTTCCTGAGACTAATGGCTGGAATAAATGAGCTCTTAAAACACATTTTTAGTTACAGCTTTTTAAAATTCATCTACATTTTTCTCTTTGTTATTGCTTATTTTGTTACTCATTCATTTGAACTTTTTTTCATTCAAAGCCTGTTCAATGCCAGGCACTGTGTGGGGAGCTGGAGAAACGAAGGTTGAAATGCCTAGTTAGGGAGTAAGGGTGGGGAGGCACACATAGCCCGTCTCTTATACAATGTGATAATGGTCGCAACATAGGTAAGTTCAAAGCGTTATGGAAACACTGAGGCATAACCAGCCTAGTGCTGGGATAGAAGCGATCTCATTAGACATGGGTTTTAAGGAGGAATTTGTCAGAGGTAGGATGGAAACAGGAGAGGCTGAAAGAATAGGTGTGGAGTGTGAGGGAAAGGATGATTCTTTAGATTTGATGAACTGGAAGATAAGAATCACCGCTCTCTGAGAGGGGGAGGAAAGAGAGATGCAGTTTCGAATGGGCAGAATCCCAGAGTTGAGATTTGGATATGTTGCATTTGAGGTGCCTAGTATACGTACAGATGAAAATGTCCTATAGCCAGTCTGTTATATAAGCATGGGCTAATGGGAAGGGTTGGAGTTATTAATGTACAGATCAATATTGTCTAATAGAAATATAATATGAGCCACCAATGTTGTCATTGAAAAATTTCTAGTGGCCACATTAAAAAAGTAAAAAATAAACAAGTCAAATTAATTTTAATAATAGGTTTATAAAACCTAATGAATCCAAATATCATGGTATCAGTATAAAAATGAATGAGACAATTTACATTTTTTTTCATACTAAATTTCCAAAATCCAGCATGTATTTTAGAAATTGGTATGGCCACAATCATAGACTTTGATAAGATCATCTAAGAAGTAAATGTAGGTAGAGAAAAAAAATGCGAGGACTAAGTCCTAGGGGTTCCCAACATTTAGGGGACAAGAAGAGAAGACCCCAGCAAAGGAGGTGGGCAACAGACAGCTAGGAGGGGAATCAGGATGTGCTGCTCAGACTTCGGTCAGGGAGGAGGAACACGGACAGGAGCAAGGAAAGCTCATCACTGGCCGGGAGGCAGGTGGGGCATGGTGCAGACACATGCTGGTTGGTAAGGGGGGTGATGGGATGGCTTCTCTTGCTTCAGTGAAATTAGACGTGAGGTTTTCACTTGAGGATGGGGAGGGAAGTATTGGAGTTTTGACGGGCAAAGAGAAAGGTGAAATAACCATGATCAGGGCACGTGCGAGAGCACATGGGCTATGAAGAGACAGTTTGCTATGAAAAACAAGTCCCCCGACCTTTTCTTTTTTAAGAGAAAGGAGAAATTGTTGGGAAGTGTCAATAAGGATCAAGGAAGAAACTGATTCTTATCTTTACCTATACAGTATGGGAAGGGTGGGAAAAAAGGAACAGTTACTTCTTGAGTGAGCTGCCAAAGAAGCTGTATCCTTATGAAAATAGTGTTGTTAGACCAAGAAGACAGGAAACATATAGAGAACAGAGCTTGGGTATCAATTTGGCTGATGAAAGATTTGAGGTGTCCTAGGGCACAGTGGAGAGTTTGGAGAGGTGATTCAAGAAAGGATGAAAAAGTATGAAGGGATTAAACAAAAATATATATACACATAACACATAGACACAGGCTACAGAGTGGTGATAGCCACAGAGAAAGGAGGGTAGAGGGTAAGGTGGAAGCAGACAAAGGGGAGGAAGTGGGGACAGAAAGAAACTTTTCTTGGGATGATGGATGCACGATGCCATGTGCCAATGATGTTTCATTGAGCCGTACACTTGAAACCTATATGGTTTTGTGAATAAATGTCACCCCAATAAATCCAATACAAAAGTAAATTTAAAAAAGAAAGGATGAAAGGTTAAGGGTCTATGGACATTTTACTAGGGGCCTTTACATGTGTCTCACCAGACAGCTGTGAAGTGCTGATCTTAGAGTGTGTATGTGAATTAAAATTGCAAATTTATTTATCCAAGTTCCTATCTCAAAAAGCCTATGTTATATCTGTAACTTGAATTGATTTTTAAAAATATATTCTTAATATTCACATCACTGTGAATGGAAGCATGATCTAAGATATCAGTGGCATTAATTCCAGGACTGGATTAAAGTTTGTGAGATTAGAAAGAAAAGTGATTTTTTAAAAAGATTTAATTTATTTATTTTTAGACAGAGGGGAAGGCAGAGGGAGAAAGAGAGGGAAACATCAATGTGTGGTTGCCTCTCACGCACCCCTCCTGGGGACCTGGCCAGCAACCTGGGCATGCACCTTGACTGGGAACCGAATCAGTGACTCTTTGGTTTGCAGGCTGCACTCAGGACCCACGGACAAAGCCAAAGGGGGGTATGACCGAAGGTGGGAGGTGGGGGTGGGTGGGGTGGGGGCACATAGTGGCGGGAGAGTGGAGAAAACTGTGCTTGAACAATAAATAAATGAAAAAACAAACAAATAAATAAATATTATATATGTATATATGCATGTGCGTGCACACACATAAAAAGAAACAAAAGTGAGTCCCGTGTGTGTGGTATATGTATGTACATTTTGCCCTTGAAGCACTGACAAATTCAGGTGCATTATATATTCCGTAAGATGAACATTTTATGTGAGAACAAGCCAAATGTTCCTTGAATTTGATCCAAGGATATCAACTTTAAAAATACACTATAACAATTATAATATCAAGTATCTTTAGTAAATACTTCTTGTGCTTGTGTTAATACATATCCATATTTTACTCAATGTAACTAAATCAGAAAAAAATACGAAATAATTTTCCCTTTGAGTACTGCTTAACCAGTTTCCAGTGTCATGCTGCCATTAATTTATGAGTCTTGATTAGAAATCATATGTAGAAACCAGTTTTTGTAATATATATTAAATATGAGTTTATAGTTACCATATAATAAATAGTAGTCATCTACATATACATTTACCTGGAAACAAAAACATACTTAGGTCTTATTTCAATTTATTTAAATTTAAAAATAGATTTTAATTAGACTCAATTAGATTTCATGATATTCATGTCAAGCAAATACATTTAGGGTTAGTATTGTATTGCTTCTTAACACTTTGGGAAGAAGTACACGTGTTTGTGTTCTTTGGTGTCCAAATCATAAATCTTTTCTTTAAAGTATAAAATGAGGGTGTCATGAATTTTAATAATGTTTTAAAAGAACTATGTGGCTAGAAAGCACTGGAAAAACCTATCAGAAAAAAGTGACTTTATGCTATATTTATTTTTTATCACAGTGGTGACAACTTACCAAAAAGTTTTTTGCTCAACAATGATTATAAAACCTTCTATTTTATATTTTAATGATTTTAAGTGTATATATACCATTAACAAACATTAAAAGTGTATTTTATTCATTCCCACAAAATTATCTGGAGAAATTTAAGACCAGGTTTCATAACAATTTATAAAAGACGTGGAAACTGGAGGTTTTTTTTTTTTTAATAAAATGGAAAGTTATTTGAATTTGATATTACAAAGTAATTTGATTTTTGAACTTTGGAATTTGAAACCTACTACTCTTCCTCCATGTATAAAAACAGACTCTAATTGAGGAATTTGTAAAGGAAAGAATAAATTTGGGATAATGTCTTTAGAGATCATCACACAGAGAATTTTGCAACTGCTTCTCTTAGCTTCATCCTGGCTTAGATTGTTATGTTTCTTTCTATTTCTTGTCAGCAATCATCTTTTGCTCCCCTATGCTCTTACAGAAAAAAACCTAAAAGAATTATAAAAATTAGCAAGTGAATAGAATTATATATCTGAGTGACAAATGTCTTGAACACAGTCATATCTTCTTTATGCTTTTTCTCTTTTTTTGTGCTGACCCGGGGAGCTCTGAAATAGAAAGATGCAGGATGGAGACACAGAGGGAGTCTCATGGCTCACTACACTGAAGTGGCCACCACGGGCATTGACTTGTAGTAAGTTGATAGTTAAAATATTATAAAGGATTTAAAGACCATTGAAGGGCATTCTTTGAACCATCTGCCTTCTACTAACTCTCTTATTAGCCAAGAGGACAACTTACGGAATAACAGAAATCTTAGGATTGGACTCCCCAGGGGTGTCCAACCTTCTGGCATCTCTTGGCCACACTGGAAGAGGAAGAATTGTCTTGGGCCATTGTGATTTTGTGATTCTGTGACATTGTGACATGTAGTCACAAAAAAACCTGATACTGTGTTAAGGAAATTTACGATTTGGTGTCTGGCCACACTTGTAGCCATCCAGGGCTGCACGCGGCCCGCAGGCTGAGGGTTGGACACCCCTGGTTAGAGTAATGACTTGCAGCGGTTTCCTGATAGTACATTTACTATGTTTTGCATTTGACAAAGAACACTGGCAGAGAAGATTTAAGAAGCTAGTGAAATATTTTACAGTGGGCTAGGGTCCTCCTGGATCATTTACACATAAGCTTTATGTATG